TATATATATATATATATATATAAATCATCATTTATCTGCATCATTTATATATATATATATATATATATATATATAAATAATTCCGTGATATTAAAAGTACCAATATTGACTCAACCAGTTTGTTATTTTCTCTGAATCATAAATAATGGTTAGTAATACCTTAATGCTTAAAATACCTGGTTCTACTCTTAACTCATTAAATGTGTAATGCTGTTAAATCTGTGTGTAATTTAGTGTATTTTTAATAGTGTATGGACAGTACTGATTAATTATTTTTTTTTATTCATCCTACGCGAAGAATGAGTATTCAGCTAGTTAATATATAAGACGATATACAAAAAGAACATTTGGAAAATTTAAAAATATTATTTTACATTAAAAAGTAAAAATCGATAAGTTTATTTCATCTTTTCACTGAAACAGAATAGGGATTTGCTCCAATCTACGTTTTTATCGTAGGATCATTAATTACAGTCAAATAGTATTAGATTGTGGGAGTTGTTGAAGATCTTTGTTTTACTACTCAAAAAATGGTTACCTTGACTCTAAAAAGTTCTCTACGAAAGGGAACTTGTGTAGATACTTTACTTGGAAATTGCATTGTTTCTATCGAAATTTCCTTGTAATTACAAAATTATTTAGCATCAAAACACTGTAATACTGTTTTTTATTTAAAGAAGCACATATGAACAATTTGTTAATACTGATACAATAAAATAAAATTCAAAAAGTGATATCGTTTTATCTTACTTTTAGAGGTCTTTCAAATATGTCAGTCTTAAATGTTGTTTTCCTAAAAAAATATTAAGCTTATGTAAAACGATAGAGATAAAAAAAAGCAGAAATTAGAGCTGTGACATAATTATAATTTTAATATGATTTTATTTTTATATAATTATAATCATTATAAACAAACACTTTATTGTAATTGATAAAAAGTAAAATCAGTCGACGTTTCAGAATTTTAAATTTTTTAAGTTTATTTTAAATTTCTTTCATCTGAATGATTAGATTTAGATTAGATGTAGTGTTATTACAAAAACAATTCAAGAGAAAGTGTTAAACCACGGAACAGTTTCCAATTTTCTATTTTTTTACGAAGAAAGTGATTATTCAAACATGTTTCCAATTTTAAGGGAAATACAATATATGTTTGTCTATTAACGTAAATTTTTTAACTCATTAGGTAACGCTCCTTTTTTTCTAAGCTTGCTAGTTGATTGAATTTCAATATTAAGACTAATGAAACTTCTGTAACCTGTAGCCTGAATAAACTGGTCCTAGTTATTAAAAACGTATTATGAAAGAATATCTCCAGTATTTATTGCTCTACTACGTGTTTAATTTTTTTGTACTAACCTTGTGTGCAAATTGTGAGGTAGCCCGAACAAAGTATTCGTACAATTTGCGTGACTTCTTAAGATTTTCTAATGAATTCAATGAACTTTCATATTATTGGATGTGTAGCTTCTACATAATTGTTCGTTCAAGAATTATCATTTAAAATTTTTCAAAAATATTCCATACTTTAGAAGGGAATATTGGTGTTTTCCAGATACCTCTGTGATTTGGTCTTTAAATATGATTGCCAATCAAAACCATTCAGACCAGTTGAAAATAGCTAAGTTTTTACGACACTCATTAAATGCTTATATTTCGACTTCATATATTTATATTTCTTGGTGAGGATGTCCCCAACCAAATTTACGCCATTCATAGAATGGGAAAAAAAGTTAAAAAAATTCAATTAATATATATATATATATATATATAAATGTATTGACTTGTATATAAATGTATTATGTATTGACAGTTGACTATAAATCTAAACGCAACAATGATAATTTAATTTTTTAAAGTAAGACGAAAATTACTTTTTGTCTAAATTTTTAAAAATAAACTTTAGAAACAGCCTTGTAATCTCTTAAAAACAACTGTACAATAAACTTACATTGTGATTTTTCAAAATAAATAACTTCGGAATAAAATTTACATTGTGAAATTTCAAAAACATTCAATTTCGATTTCGAAACGGTATCGAGTCCAAAACGACGAGACCAAAATGGTGGGATCAATATGCCATGGGCTGTGCTATCAGTCCCTGAAGTTTCAATCCTGTCATTACCTTCACTTTTTTATTCGTATAATTTTAATATTCACAGTAATTTTGAACAGTTTAATACAATCTTCAAACACACTGAAAACATAGAAGTTCGAGGAAAAATTCGTGTTTTAAAATTCGTGTTTTAAAATTTGTACTAAATTTTTTTCTTAATAGCAAATAGTAAAAAACAAGAGTTAAGATCTTTTCTTTTAAATAAATTTAATTATTAATAATCATAAATTCATACATTAACAGTAATTACGAATCGTTTTTACTACGAAAATACCTCAAGGAAAGTCCAAGCATTTTTTTAACATTATTTGAAGTGTTTGAAATGAGGTTAACTTTATAAGACACATTCCAGACGATCCGTGGCAAAAAATGGGACCAATATACTCAACATCAACTTTATGCTGATATTGACTGCAGGGGGAAAATCATTGAAATTCTTAAATATACCCTGGATGATCTGCTTGCCCCTGCGAGTACACCTGACTAATTTTATCTGGTTTTATTTTTCAAACTTTCGGCTTTTAGGTTTTCTGGTTTTAAATATCTGCTTTTAATATTTTACCTCGGCACTTACCTTTTCCATGACTTTGTTCTCCCCTTGAACTGGCATCTTCATTATACATAGGACATTCGAAATGAAATCTTGCTCTTGGTCAACTTCAGCACCCTCTGTCCTATCTGGTGTCATCTTTGTGTGTTTATCCTTTTAGTGAAACTTTGGTTTACCTTAGAACATTTTTAATCTTAGAGGCACTTAGTCTTGAAAGGGAGACACTTGAACTTTTAGTCGACTATTTTAATTATTCTATTAATCTTATCCTAGTCTTATTTGTTTCTAATGTGGTTTTTCATATTTTACCATTTGATGTTTTACCTGACCTTACTTTTATATGTTTTTACCTGTATTTTTGACACTTTTATTGTCGGTTGATTTTATCTACTTTGATGTTTTGAGCACTTTAAATTTGTGTACTGTTTTATTTTTATTTTATTTTTTCGATTTTGGGATTTTTCCTATGTGTTTCAATCATTTTGATTTTGTACTTTTACTTTTCCGTAGTTTTGTAGTGTTTAGTTCACGTGCAAACGGGTGAAACCCTTATCCGCAAACTCCTTCGGGGGTAGGTCGGTTACTATTGGTCTTATAAGACACATTGTTAATTCTGGCCTGTTGCGATCGGACCAATTGTATATTTTTTTAGTTTATTTTACTAAATGCCACGGGGGGCTTCGCCGGGACTCTCGACCGGCACATGTGCTGGTCTCCGAAACGCGCCTCCTCTCCTGAGCGTAGGGCTTATCGCGGCGACTACTCACTCCAGTAACTCTCGTATACCCATATTTGGGGAGGACGGGGTTAATTTAATATCTCTTATAAAACACATAGCAAATTAAATGCTACTCTAAAGTATTTTTGTGAGTTTATCAAATATAGGAGGATGAATAAAATACCCATCAATATATTACATAATATCTTCCTGAATTCATAAAGACTATATTGATGTAGAATTTTTGTAATTGTTTTTTTCTCTTTCTTTCTTTTAATCTCTTTTTATTATTTTGCAATTTTAGTTTCCTATAACTAACTTATATCTTTAAGTATAGATTCATGTTACGGAGAAAATATTTTTCTAACCTTTTTCATTCTTGTTTCGAAAATCACTTTCTCTAAAAACAAAAATAGAGAATTTGCTACAAAATGACTGTAAAAACTTATATAAAAGTAACTTATATAAAAGTAACTTATATAAAAGAGAAACGTGATTTTTCTTTTTTATCAAAATTATAAATTAAGTATTCAAAGGGAATTAAGGCCAGCATTTTTTTATTTTGATCTAGATACAACATCAATCACTACTTACAAACATTCCTCCTTGCAATTTTCCGAGCATTCACCAGGTTCTTTATAAGTGCATTCATCATTCACGATTTTCTCATTCATTACTGAAATGTTAATGCGTCTTTTGTCATTTTTTCCTCAGAAACTTCACTATATAAAATTTAGTGTCTACTAACATCGAAAATGGTAGCGATTACTTTTGTACCGAAAGTGATGAAGGAAACACCAGACGGAATTCCTTGTGTAATTAAACATAGAGGACAGTTTTTGATGTCACAGTCACCAAGAATGTCACTATGCACTAATTTTAGTGTAAAGTAGTTGCCACCATTTTCGAATTTCAGTATCACTAAAGCTTGTAATAACAATAATATATTATATACGTAAAAATCAGTAGAGTTACTTTTACGAATTAATTAAAAGTAAAAACAGTCAGTTTAGGATGTATGCACATTCTAATTATTTATTACTACTTACAGCATAATTAAAAACCTACATGCGTTTTGTAACGGTGAACTTCTGCAAATTTAAATGTATAGCAGTGAGCCAGACAACGAATTCACGTCATTTCGTACTCGATTGTGAACAATCTACTGACGATATCAAAAATATGTTAAAATTGGAAGCTAAACATATACATGAATGACTGTAAATGCGCATGAACTTAATTTACGCATTCCCTTTTATTGGTGTTCAGAAGTGAAGTACAAATTTAAAGTAATTATGAATGTTCGAAGTCTTGTTAACTTAAAATATACTGGTTTTTCGCACAATTTCTTTTAGTTGTTCAAAAACGAATTCGGGGCGATTACCTCAGTCTGTAGAATAATTAAATGAGTGGTTATGGCGTTGTTATTACGCGCTTAAGTTAGCCCCAAATTGAGAGTTAAATAACAAAAAAAAACGAGTTTGAAGCGATATCAATTGAAAATTTGCAAATGTACTTAAAATTCATAAATTTCCACTTGTCTGTCATCCTATATTTGATAAAGATATATATGTCATACTCCTTATTTTATTCTCTTAAAAACTTAGGTGAACACACGTACTTCAGCTTGCTCTTATTTTACAATAACCTAAAATATAATTACATTATGACACAAAGGCAATGACAGAAAATATTCTGTTACCTTCATACCAAATATGATAATTAGAAATAAGAACGCATTTCTTCTGAAATCTAGGATTTATTTATATTCGCTATTTTAAAACATTGCAACTTAACATCACTTTTTATACCTTTCAAGCTCATGCTTTAGTTTTTTTTATCTTGACTTAAAATTGAAATATTCAATGAAAATGGTACGGACATCGCCACTGCTGCAGAAATTTTTCGAAAAAACCTATTTTCAGATCCATTAAACACTAAAATATGGTTTTATAATATGTGATAAAATTAGGTAATTTTGAATAGCCCACCTACCTTTTCCGCTGCATATTTCCGTTTTAGAAGGGTAATTAAATTCAATAAAAGAGCAATTGCTGCATTTCTTGTAGTAATCAACGTAGCATTTTTCACGACACATCTGAAACAAGAAAACTGATTCTTTATTTTTTACTACTACTATTATATTTTTAACTGCTTGTAATAACAAAAAACAAAAGAAAGAAAGAAAATATTTAACTCACTTTGTAAAATAAATATTTTACAAACATTAAAATTGACCATACACCTATCAAACTCTTGTATGTCATTTTAAATCCTTAAGAGCTAAATTAAGCAAAATCACTGAAAGTGATGGGTAGATGCTATAAAAACTAATATTAAGTAATTAAGTGCAATTGCAACTGCGTTGGATAATTCTCATTATTTTTCAGAAAGAGAGAGATGAGGTGAGAGTTCTCAGATTACTCATTTAAAAATATTTACCTGTTTTGAGCGAACTCCAGTATAGTTATTTTTTCTCCAGATATCTACGTAGTCTAAGCAATCTGTGTCATAGGGAGAACCCAATCTTTCATCTTCTCTCTAGTGATTGGTAAAAGAACGCATTTATTCATTGTATTGTACTATATATTTTAAGTGCTAAAAATATCAAAAGAAACTTTAAAAAATTTCCTGAGAAAATGTACTTTTTGAAATAAAAATAATCGTAGTATGACAGAATATAGGGGAGAGTGGAAGGAAGTCGGGTACCCCGAGTTTGCGAAATTAATTCTATTTTCTAGCTGTCAAACTCTTATTTACTCCTCGGATCCACAGCTCATGTAGGCCCTTGGCCTCCTTTACTATGCAGCTCCACTTTTTCCTGTCCTTGACCTTTATCTTAAAATTTTTGATTTTCATTTTTTCCAAATTTCTTTCTTTCTCATCAAGCTATTTTTTTTTCAGGGTGTCTGACATTTTTCTTTTCCTCCAGTTTTATTTTATAGATTTTTTTTGTTGCTCTTTTTTCTCTCATTCGCTTCAGATGACCGAACCATTGTATTCTTTTTTCTTTTTATCACTCTAAAAAAGTGCAACTAAAAGCTGACAACACATTTTTCTAGTCAAGAAGAAAGTTCTGCCATATTTGGCGTGTTGTTTTCGATTAACTCATGGCATTTGTGTAGATAAGTGTGTTTTACTATATCAACTCTCTAATGTTCTCCCTTTTTTATCCTATCCTTATCAATTGGTCAATACAGTTTTAAAATTTTTTTTGACCAGTTTATTATACGTTTACTAAAGATTTATTCTCTAAGAAACAGTAAGGAATTAGCCCGATAGGTAGCACTTTATTGTTTCGTTTCAATATCTGCTATTAGCAGTATAAAACTGATAACTACTCGATCCGGCACCCCTCAACCACCTATACAGGTCCCAGGACCTCCTCTATGCTGGACTCAGGAAAGCTGCAAAACTGCATAGGAAAAAGATAACTAAAAGAAGGTGCAAAGGCTTTACTGTCCCCAGGATAAAATTTTCCTGTGTGCGCTATCCTCAAATCACAGAAAGCCTTATTTTCATATTTTGTGGAATGTTTTTTTTCTAATGGCAGGCACTGAACTTTTACGTCCTTCGCCTAGGAGGATGCCGGAAGTATTACTCATTTAACGTTACCCAGCGGGCACCTGAGAACCTAAGTCTCAGAGGCGAGCAACAATACCCACTCAACACTGCCACAGATTCCCGTTTATAGGGTGGGCCACATTCACACATCACACAATAGAGAACGACACACAGAGAGAAACATCCATGCCCCGAGTGGGATTCGAACCCGCAGCCATTAGCTTCGTAGTCTGTGACGCTAATCGCTCTGCCGTCTGGCCGGCACTTCGAAGAATGTTTGAAGACACTTTAAATAAAATAAAATTAAATTTAGATATAAAGTAAATCTCTGAAATTGTTCTTTTGAAAAAACATTAATAAACACTGTTTTTTTGTAAAAAAAAATTTAAATTGGCCCTCAGTAGAACTAAATCCCAGGACAATTGCACATATACTTTGCCTCCTGAGTACGGCCTTGAATACATAACGCTACATGTAAATTACATGCATTGTTTTCTTAAATTATCTTATAAAATAAAAATGTCGGCTATTTCTTCCCTGAAATTCTAGTATTTCAGAATTACCATAGTGGGGTACCTAGCGGGGTTAGATAAAACCGGATGGTTTGGCTCTATCTAGAAAAGCAAATATAAAAAAGTATTACATCTATGACTTTGAGAGAATAATATATTGTATGCAGCTAAGAAATGAATATCTTGATTAGATCAGAGAGTCTGTATGTCGAACAGTCTAGCCCCAACAGACCCTTGAATCTTAGCTACCCTGTATTACCCCACCTTCTCCTACATATAATATGTAAAGCATATATAATATGTATGTATATGTCAGTTATTATAAGTACAACAGCAAATATGCAAGCTGCTTTTAATACCTCGGAGCTAAATAATAATAGCAAATATAATGTAACTATATTATCCATACGATTAAAATCAATGGAGTAAAATGTATTGATATATAGTTATGCTTTAGAAATAAAGAGAGTTTAAGTGAAGCAAAAATGTTAAAGTTAAAATATTTCAATGTTAATGATAAAGTTTGAAGCAAACTATAAGTTAATGATAAATTATAATTAATTGCTTTAAGGCTTTGAAGTAAAATGTTTCTATACTGTAAAATTTGAGAGAAATCCAGTATGCTAATAAATTAGATCACTTTTCAATAACTTTTATTTCTGTACTAACATACTTATTTAATGGTTCAAGAGCCTAACCACAAATATGCTATTAAGTTTGAGCAGAAGAAACTGCAAGTTATAACATACTTTCTCAATATATGTTTTCGAAATAATAAGTAATACGTTTTTAAACATATTCTCAATATATTTAAAAACATATCTCAAATTTCTAATATCAGAAACACAATGAAATTTGCAGGATTACGATCAAACATACAATTTAATGCCCATTGCGGATGACGTCACTCCACTGTGCCTCTACTAATTTACATATTGTAGTCTTACTTAGCAACATTTTTTAATAACCTATTCAAAGTTCATAGAAATTTGCTTATTCTTTGGAGAGTTGTCGCTATTTCGCACAAAAAGTCGATTCTCTTTTTCTGTTTGCTTAAAATAAAATTATTTAAAATCTAGCAATTCGCTATATTTCCCCTTCAATTTGAAAACAAAAATTGGACGACTAATGTTATTTTGATAGAATCTCAAAAAAGTGTTAAAACTATCAAATATATCATGGAATAAAATTCAGATTAACATTCTGAAATTACGCGAGAGAAATATTTTCTAATTCACCTCAACAGGTGGGGTCGATTTTTGCGTCGCTAGATGCCACGATTTTAGTGTCACATTAAACACTACTATTTTATTTTATTATATATTTTATAACTGACGTTGAACAGCAGAACCAATTTTATAGGTTTACGACTACTAATGTTCAACTCCGTAGCCTTGTAATTTTGAACCCAATCCAGAAGACAAGGGAGCTCATGGATCGAGTATTGGGAGAAATTTGCCTTCGCGGAGGACTTTTCGATGGAACTAACAAGCATTTGCGTTACATGGAGGGGAAGACCACGAGAACTTGCTATGGTTAACCTGACGGCAAGGGGACTCTAACCTACGATCCGTCTGCCACTGAGGATATTTTACGTCAGCACTGTGGTCGGTGAAGACGGATGTGGAATTCGTATCGATTGGGAATCGAACCCGGTTCGCCGCAATGGAAGGCGAAGGCTCTATCCCCCGAGCCATCGCGGCTCTAAACACTATTTACGTTTTTTCTCGAATTTACTTGCATTTTTCGAGATATCTCTTTTCGAAACAATTTGCAATCCATATTCATTTTGTGAGCTCAGCTACATTCAAGAACCGTATAACAAATGCCTATTGGATGTTTACATGGAGATATTGCTTCCTGGAGAATCAAAATCGGCACCGGGTTTCCATTTCAAAATTTTTTAAATTGCCTCCACCCCCACTGGGTAAGGACAAGGAGTCGAGTTTGGTATTATTAAATGTATTCGTTAAACGTCTATCTTAAGATTTTTGATCAGATGCTAACTTCTCGAAAGCATTTTTATTCTTTTTGGACACCCTGTACACAACAGTATGAATATAATTACTTACAATGTAAACATCAATTATGTACTGCTTTCCAGGTCTTAAAAAGTAACCTCTGTGAAAGGGATTTACTGCATCGTATGGCGAATGAACAGCAATAAAAATACCTGGTGGAACATTAGGTTCAAATACGTCGTCAACTTGGGGGTTAAAAATAAATCTGTCAGATGTCCAGTCTAAAATTTAAAAAAAGAGAATTTGTAGTTTACACATTTTACAAAACTCAATAATTAATTCCAAAATAATAATTAAAAACAAATAAGTTATTTCACAGCATTCATTATTGTGTCCCGGTTAACCCATCATGGCAATCATGACAACTGAGGCTGATTTTTGGGAATCTTTTTATACTTCAAAAAATTCAAATGATTTTTTAATGATATCTCTTGTGTCCCACCCGTCCCCAATGTTTAGAAATCTATTCGAGTTAATTTTTGCCCCCATCACAGCTTTTCTTTATCTGCCTTTTTTTTATTAGTTTGTTCAAGCTTTTTCCCCAGTACCTAATGGCTACGCCAATTCAAATGTGTTTAATCTCTTTACTTTATTATTCTGTCGTTTGGTGTTTAGACTCTGATTAAGTTTTATACAACCGAAGGTTTATATAAAGTGATTCTACAATCGTTTGACAAGTTGGATAGGTGGTTGAGAGTACTAAAACATGCATTTTTTGTATATGAATGTAATGTCTAAAGTGATATGTTAAGGCTTGAACTCACAAAATTGCACAGGATGAAAAATGTGGTAATTTAGTAAATCACAATACAAAGTGATTCTTTCGACATTAATACAGTATTCACAATTAATGTTCCAAATTATGACCACTAACATCGCATGCTTGCATTATAATTGCGACCAACTAAAACTAAGTTGTTGTTGTTGTTCATTTACGTTGCACTAGAGCTGCACAATGGGCTTTTGGCGACGGCCTGGAAACATCCCTGAGGATGATCCGAAGACATGCCATCACAATTTAGATCCTCTGCAGAGGGGATGGCACCCCCGCTTCGGTAGCCCGACGACCTGCACTCGAAGTCGAGCACTTTACGGTAGAACAGTTTAACGAGGACCAATACCGCACACTCTCGGTCCCTACACAGGCTGATCCAAGTGGTCACCCACCCGCACACTGACCGTAGCCAGTGATGCTTGAATTCGGTGATTTGCAGAGAACCGTGTCTTAACGATCAGTCCACTGCGGGACAACTACAAACTACGAGAAAAATCTCTAAAAAAGGGGGGGACGAGTCGTTAAAGACCATTCGATTGTAAATTAGCATCAAGCTCTTAGCCAAGTCGAAGTATTGAAATAGCAACGAATAATAAATATTAGTGGTAAACAATCTATAACGATTACCTTTTTATATAGTATAACAGTTCAAATTAATAAGGAATTTATCTCTCCTGAAACTTTGACATTTTATTATTAATTTTTATTTAAATGCTATGATTTACATCTGTCAACTTCCCTTTCTCGTATTTTTTTTATTTTACTTATAGACTTCTGTTGCCTTTGACATTAGTCAAACACTAGCTTATAAAATGAATATCTCGAGAGAGAATTTTTTTTTTTCTGCAGCAATGGATAAATAATAATTTTTTAAGCAAATAAAGTAAAACAATTTATCAAAAAAGCACTCAGATGAAATAACTTTTAAGAAAATTTAAATTTTGAAAAGTTTAAAATAGTCCTTTCAGTGCTTTAAATTTTAACACTTAGTTGCGTTTAAGTGGGCAATAGGTCAGCCAATATGTTTTTTTCTTGCTGCAAGTTTAAAATGTGATAATTTCTAAAATATTAATGGAATGTTAAATTTTCTTATACCATCGAACTTCTGCAGGTACAGTCTTCTACAGACCTTCTCAATTTCTGGTTTTTAAGTCTTTGTATATTCTGCGCAGCTAAAGAAAAAGTAACGTGCAGCAATTATTTGCCTGTTTTGGATATTTACATTTGTCTTAATTCAAATGTGGCCCATTAAAACATATTTAAACTTCTAGATTTTATTTGCACAAGTTAAGCAATACCACTTATCAAAATTAAACCACAGAAAGAAAGTAAAGAACAAAAATCGAACGGTTTTTAAATTTACCAAGATGCACTTACGTGGTTTCTCATTTTTAACGTTAAGAGCTGTCCACGGTTTAAGATCACTTTCCACATTAGAGTTTATTGAAAAACAATAGGAATATTCATCAAAATGAGAAAACCTTTGCCTTGGAAGAGGAACTGCTGATCTGGTAGGGAAAGAGCTGAAATAATTATTATAGTTAAGAATATTGAAAAAGGGAATGTCTTTAAAGGGATTAAATAAAAAATTTTACCAGAATTCTTTTTATTCTTTTTATTTTTATTTTTTATTTATTTATTTTTTTTGTGTGTGTGCGTTCCACAAAATTGTATGGTTTCTAAAACTTAGATATAAGTGATAAATTAATGTGTTAATAAAAATCGACAATAATTTTGCAAATAGAATTGATTTTATAAAGATTAGATTTCCTCACTCTCAACACTTTTCCTCCTTCACTGTGGATTCGACAAATCCAGACCGCCTTACGTTCCAGTATGGCGTTGGAATATTGTCTACAGAAAGAGTAAAAGTGTGCAGAGTAGGAAACGTAACATATATATNCTTATGTAAACATATATATATATATATATATAAATAAAAGGTAAATATGCTGTTCTTGCCAGTAAGAAATTAACCGATGTATATGGAGAAGATGTGTTAACAGTACGCCAGTGCCAGAACTGGTTTGCAAAACTTCGATCCGGCAATTTTGATGTCGAAGATGCACTACGTTCTGGAAGGCCGGTTGAAACAGATGAAACACGATAAAAGCATTAGTTGATGCAAATCGGCGGATAACAACACAAGAGATTGATGAGAGGTTAAATTTGTCGAATTCAACTGTTTATGACCACTTGAAAGGCCTGAGTTTAACCTCGGAGCTCGATATATGGGTTCCCCATGTTCTCACGGATAGAAATTTGTGTCGTTGCTTTGACGTCTGTGATTCGCTTCTCAAATGTTCATTTTTGAAATGCATCATTACTGGGAACGAAAAATGGGTTGTCTATAGCAATGTCAAACACAAGAGATCATGGAGCACAAAAGATGAACGGGCTCAAAGTATTTCGAAAGCCAATATCCATCAAAAAAAGGTGATGCTGTCTGTTTGGTGGGATTTTAAAGGAATAGTTTTTTTTAGCTTTTCCCGGATAACACAATAATTGATTCTGAAGTCTACTGACATCAGCTGGACAAACTGAATGATGCACTTCAACTGAAAAGGACAGAATTAATCAACAGAAAAGGAATAGTGTTCCACCAAGATAATGCGAGACCTCATACATCTTTGGTCACTCGCCAAAAACTTTTACAGCTTGAATGGGATACACTACCACAGCCACCACATTCCTCAAATCTGGCGCCTTCGGATTATAATTTGTTCCAGTCACTGCAAAATTGTTTGGACTGTAAAACCTTATATCTAAGCAATGTGATATCTTCACTTATATCTAAGATTTGGAAACCAAATATCTTTGTGGAACGTAAAAAAATGCAATAGATTTAGTAGATATAGATAGATAGATAGATATTGACTGGCCGTACCTTGTTAGTGAAACTGTATTATTAGAATATGGCGGCACAGTAACTGTTCTCTAGAGATGTAGGACGCTTAAAAGTTTAAGAACAGGGCAAGAACGCTTGCAGGAAATGATTTTTAAATTTGAGCTGAGTGGTTGACAGAGCCAAAAATTCCGTAGAGGGAGGAAACCAGTTGCTGTGGAAAGCTTACTAACTGCACTAGAAGAAAGATCCATCAGTAATAGTGAGAGAGACTGTAGTGCACGAGACATTGAGATCAATCAGTACGGTAGCATTGAGAACTATTCTGGGAGAATCTCCGTACAAAATAACCCATATCTACGAGTGTCTCGCTGCAAACCTTCCAAAACTAGAACATTGCAAGTGGATATCGCATGATAATACATCATTTTGCAGACAAATGAGGCTCACTTCTTTTTGTAGAACGAAGACAATGAATATGAAGACAATGATTTACCGAATATGTGCAACAGTAAATCTGAAAATTTCTCAATTTTTTCCTCTTTTTCCATAAAAGTAACTGTGATTTACGTCAGAGTTTCTTATTTTATTTTATAACAATCGTTTAGCAGCCGACCCAATTTTTGTCTTTACTACTACTAAAGTTCTACTCTATAGCCTTATAATCTTGAACCCAGTCCAGAAGACAAGGAAACTCCTGGATCGAATATAGGGAGAAATTTGCCTTCGTTGAAGACTTTTTGAGGAAACTAACCCACATTTGCGTTACACGGTGAGGAAAAACACGAAAACTTTCCACGTTTAGCCTGATGGCGTGGGGACTCTAAACCATTATCCGTCTACCACAGAGGATATTTTACATCAGCACTTTTGTCGGAGTGAGCTGGGTGCTATATATACACAATATATATATATATATATATATATATATAATACAAAAGTATTAGTAAAAACATTAACTCTTTTCATAAAATGTCTTTGGTAAAGAATAGGTGTACAGATATTCTATTTTGGAACTTCAAGGCTGAAAACATACCAATGAATAATAATTAGATTTATGTTTCAAAGGAGTGATTTTTAGAATCTTTTCCTCTTTCACTTCCATATTAGGAAGCATTGAATGATTTTCTTAATGTTTGGATTACAAGGTATGCGACGATTGAGCCTCTTCACCTCATTGTCTGTTAGCACTTAATGCAGGAGCGATCGTTTTTGCGTGGCTCTTGCTGTATGATGTATTCCATGTAAGATGTGCCGGAACCATCCGGTGTTTTGTCCACCCCCCTCCCTTGGGGAAAGCGGATGTGAAATGTTAAAAATCTCACGAAATATGACAATTCACTGTCCCTTGCTCCAAGATCTAATACTATAACACTAAAAGAACTTTTTTTTTAAAGAAAATTCATAAATTGCATTGCTGATAGCATCTTAAAATGACTTTGCACTAGCATTGACTGTTTTGTATAGTTAAAAAATTTCATTGAACTTCAAAATGTCATTTTCCTGGCATGTCCCAAACAATGCTTCCAATGATAACTTTTTCAGGATCCCAACCAGTGTAAGCATTTCTAGAATATACGCAGAGGGTATTATTTACAAAAACTTCGTTTGAAACAATTTTTTCTGTCAGTAATTTGTTTGTCGCAAGAAAATCTTTCATTTTCCTGACTGCTTTTATTTAGTGGTTAATAACCAAAATAGATAGAGCCAGCAATCAAAATCTTATGTTAATAGATTGATTAGATACCCTCCTATATGAACATGCCTTGTTGCAAGAATAAAAGTACCAATTTTCTGGTTCAAAATCTATTTCAAAAAATTTTTCAAGGTGAGTAGGTTTTTGTGTTGTCATTTTCCTGGCTTCTTGAAATCATTAATATCATAAACTACATAGATTTATCTGAGTTATTTTAAGAAATCCTGTTGTTTTCTGCAGAATGCAAACGTCTTATACCAAAATATTAAATTAAGGTAAAGTTATGTGCTATAAAATGGCGAATTTGTCATTATCCTGGCTGTCATTTTCCTGGCTTATGAATTCCAGGACATTGGAGTGTACCAAAAAATTTTTTTAGCTACTAATACTGCAAAGAGGAAAAGCAAATACTGTCCTAATACCAAGTTTATGTATGATTGTTATATGATTGGATGTAATCAAAGTTATTTATTTATTTAATGATTGATTATTATACACAAATTTATTCTGTACATATCAGCAGCAAAAAAAATTTGATTCTTTCTACTGTGGATAAAAAGAATTAATTTAAGCAATTTATGGTCGATCTAACATAAAGGCTTCAGTTGAGTTACTTACTATTAACTCAAAATGACTGTTTTTTAAACTTCTAAGCTAATATGTCATTTTCCTGCCATTCAAGATTTGGTGAATTTCTATTGTTTTTTTTCCTCAAGTAAATGTCAATAAACTACACTGCTGTCTCTAAGATATTAATAAATGTAACCAAAGAGGTATACAAAAAAAATTTATATATATATANTACGCATCAGGAAGATACTGAAACAATGACAGGAGGTTTGACTGTATTATTTTAAAAACACTTTGGCAAATTTTTTATTTTTATTGTCCATGTGCCTGATTGAAGTTTTAAACATGACTACTTATAAAAGATCCGTCTTTTATAAATAGAAATATTAAGTTAACTTTGGATGATGAATGATTTAGAATTAATTCTTCTTTCAGTTGTCTGAGACTTGTAAGAGATTAACTTGTCTTGTCAAAGAACTGCAAAATAAATTGCAAATAAAAGATGAAGGAATCAAGTAACTGAACGAAAAACATTGCCTTCTGCAGAGTAATTTCTGCAATGACGATTGAATTGTATATATATATATATATATATTGTATATGTATATATATTGCATACCAGATGTTTAAGCAACTGTCACGCAAATTCGAGATATTGCGACTTAGTGGTCCTTGAACTCTGAGCTGCCGATCCATGACATCCCAAATGTGTTCTATCGGATTGATATCCGGAGAGTTAGGCGGCCAGGACATTAACTGGAATTCAGCATCATGTTCCTGGAACCACTCCAACGCAATTTGAGCCTCGTGGCACTGGACGTTGTCCTGCTGGAAAATTCCATTTCCGGCTGGAGAAACAGAGGCCATGTAAGGGTACAACTGGTCCGCAATGATGTTCAGATTCCCTGTAACATTCATGGTCTGCTCAACCACTGCCACGGTTCCCAGATACGCCCAAGAGAACGTCCCCCAAAGCACCACCGGCCTGTGTATGACCTACTGTACATTGAGGGAGCAACTGTTCGCCAGGAAGACGGCGTATCCTGACACGGCCATCGGCGTGATGATTGACAAACCGTGACCAGGCAACTCTCTCCCACTGATCCATGGACCAGTCGCGAGCGTGTGGTCGTCTAATACCATGTCGTCTTCTGTTTTCACCGTCATTCATTCACTTTGCATAAGTACTAACAACTGTAGATCGCGAACAACCCACGAGTCGTGCAGTTTCGGAAATAGTTGTTTCGAGCCTTCGAGCCATTACAATCTGCCCTTTATCAAAGTCGCTTAGATCCGCAGCCTTTTCCATCACACCCAGAAATAAGTGAAAGAATAATTCTTCAAACTCTCCAGCAACAGTTAAAAAAGAACGTCCACCTGATCACGTGGCTTCCACGCCATTCAGGAGAGTTCATTGCATAATCTATTATTTCATTTGCCATATTTTTTAAAAATAAAATAAGAAATGAAAAAAAATTAATTTTTTGAGTCATAAAAATTCAAAAATTTTTATGTAATTAAAAATAGCTTACTCGCTAAGTTCAAGATCGAGAAAGTTAAATCCAAGCTCGGAAACATCTGTTTGATTAACTTTCTTTATGAACTCTTCTTTCACCTTTATAAAAATATTTCACATAAATTAACAGTTGAATTAACTATAGTCAAAATTATGTCAAATTTCATTCTTGTGTCACAAATATAAAAAAGAAAGACTTAGTGTTAAGAATTTTTTTCATTTATTTTCTAGCCTCTTTTCATAAGTTTATCTTTCAAAATAGGCGACAATAAAATGCATTTAATTTAACTTTCGTTCATTTCTATCATTACAAATATAATAAATAAAAATTAGGGTACAAATTTTTAAAGAAACTTAAAAGCATTACACACTTTTTATGCAAAATTTAATTTAATTTAGCAATTAAGGGTCATATTTGAAGTGAAAAGTTCTCATGCAGATCAATAGGCTATTAAATTGTTTTGAAAAAGTTCAATGAGGATACTGAATAACACAAATGCTAACATAAATACCACAATTCAAAAAGTTCCATTTTTACTGTAACTATTACGCTAAATAGATGCGCCTTTAATACTCTTCAATTTATAAACGATTTTTTTTCCAAATTTTATCACACGTTTGAATTTTTATAAGTCAACCATTATTATTTATAACTTATAAAATTAAAGAAAAAATTATCACTACTAAAGAAAAAAAACTAAATCATTAAAGTTAAAAATGAACTGTTAGAATATTAAAATACTGTTGAAACATTAATAATTATTTTTAGTGAAACATGTAAGTACATACTTTCAAAGTATTTGGAAGAGCAGTTAGTAAAACTTTTTAATGAACAATTTCGAATAATAATAAATACTTAAAATTAAAGAAAAATCGTACCGTCATATTATTTTTTTCACAGTAATCTCCATTGATTTCGCAAAATTCCTCTGTTGTAGGAATACAGTGATCCTCATACTTTTCACAGTATTTTTTTCTGCTGACTCTGGAAAAAGCAATGTAGGGTTTAAGTTAGTTTATTCAGATGAACTACCAAATCAATCATTATATTTGATTTAAACATTTACGCTCGAATTCATGATTATTGCAGTTTTTAGTTCAGTTTATATGCAGTTGTTATGCAGGATATCAAGAAAAAAAATGAACACGATTGAATTATCTTAGGAAAACTACCTTTAATGGATGCCACAATAAATTAAACTTTTCTAACGTTCTTTAAAAACCTATATAATGAAGTCCTAATAAGTTAATCCACATTCTTTGTGAGGGTCCAAACGAAGGGACGTTTTAAATCATTGATTTTTGAACTCGAAATTACTATTTTCCGAAAACGCCAAGTAGAAAATCATCCATAAAAAATAATTTAAAAACTGTACAGGTCAAATTTTTAAAGCATTTTTATTATGCCTTTGAATTTTTTGGAACCTTTTTATTGTTGAATAAGCCAAATTTGTTTTGTTTGGCAAAACAGCATGAGGAATTTTCAAAACATATGTTTTGAATTCTTGGTGCCATTTTTCCCTTTTATGTAAAATTTCTTCTGTTCTGTAGAAAAGAAAAAAGTTAAAATTGAAACCTTGTTTCAATTTTAATATATATATATANAATATCTATATATATATATATTGTATATATATATATTGTATATATATATATATTGTATATATATATATTGTATATATCTGTATTCACATTTAAGATTTAATTCTTGAATTTAAGATCGTGTCAAAATTCTGGGTCTGAATATTTAGATAAGAAAAAAAATCGATCGAATTTCATCAAGGCGTGAAAAAGTTAAATAAAACTAACTGATCTGCAATCAAAAGTCAATTTTAATTTCCAATTAAATGTGTCATATGAATGTAAAGACTGATTTTAAATTTTTCACGAAAACCCCCATTCACTTTTTTATGCCGTTATTTAGTTCTTCAACAACGTTATTAAGCAAAATAATTTCTCAAGATATATTTTTTGCTTTAAAATTAATTTACTGCTTTATATATCTGTATTTAAAAAAAAATTAAAACAAGTAAAATTGTTTTGTTTTGGCAAAAAAATCCATTAGAAATTTTTATTTCAAAATACAATTTTCATTTCCCACACCCATTAAAAATCTATTACAAAATCCATGCCAAAATACAACGATTGCTGCCACAGCGATAATTAAAAACTGCAAATAAATACGCAGTTGGATTTTAACAAAACTTATAAATTGTTCTATTACCCACCACGATTGCCATTGAGCCAATTAACATTTTTTGTTAAAATAGTATAATAGCATATATTGTGCCGAGAATTTCAGGAACAAAACCCCTGCTATACTGCTGCTGTTCTGGTTTGCATTTAGGCAATGGGGGGAAAGGGTGCTTCTTCTTGTTTTCCAGTGGCGCCATCTGTGGCCAAGAATTTGACTTCTGCCACGCATTTATGTCAGAACCAGTTTATAGAGAGGAACCAGTCATACATCTACAGATCGTAATTTTGACCTAAACCAGTGAACGATCAATCTCCAATTCATATCCCTCAGATGTATGATATCATTATACTGATGTTGTCGATATAGTTATACCTGAAAATGCTTCAGTACGATAATACTATATACGAAAATATCGGTAAGTGCTAGCATGTAAAAGGCAAAAACTAAATCCTCCAACTCTCTTACGGCAAATAAAAAAAATAGTTTCATATAATTTAATATTTTGCATTTGGCCTTTTAATACGCAAAAAATGATTATTTATAACCGACAATGGAGGGGAATGAATTAAACTTGGCAATGGTAAAAACTGTTGTTCTTTTAATTTATAACTACGTAATTGCTTCGAAATAGACGGAATAAACTTTATATATGATTTCATATCAGTAAAAACTATCAACAAATTGATTGGTGAGTGATATTTCGTCTACTTTTATTTTATAAAATTTGAAAGAAAACTCGTATGACTAAAAATTTGTAACTCTATTTTTTATTAAATAAACTCATGTAGTTAATATGCGATAACTCCTTTCCTCTAATAAATTTTTATTAGAGAAAACTGAAAAGAGTGAAGAGATTTTTATATTCTTTTTATTCTCCACAAGTTGTGGTGAGTTATAAAAAAATGCTATTTATAATTTTTTTTATTGTGAAATAACTTGCAAAATGTTATTTATCTCTTATTATACAAAGTAAAAATTGATTTATTTGAAGGCGATATGCATTTTACGAACATTATATTTCAAATTTCCTTTCATATTTCAAATCACTTTTAGTTTCTTTTCATTCACGTCTGGCAAATCTTGAAAATAGGCGCCTTTTTTTGAGCACTTTAAACATGGTGATTGTTCAACAAAGGGAAGGATAAATACTTAGTGCTATGTAGACTAAATCAAAAAACGAACGAAGAAAGTACAAAATTGGCATATTATAGTTTCAGTTCTATAAACAAGAACCTTACTACTCGTTAGTATCTACACGTCAAATGAAGGTAGAGAATAAATGAATTAAAGAGGTAAACGCGTGTAGAGTGGTTAAAACCTATAGGGACGGAGTAAACGACTTACTTTTGTGCTCTTTCTCTTGTGATACGCTTTTTTTTTTATTTCTTCATGCCGATTGTTATTTCCAATTTATATATTTTTGAAGCAACTGAAGTTTTTAATCAAATAATATCTAACCACTTTAGTTTCTTGGGAATATTTCTATAATGTTTTGAACATTTTCAACAAAAAAGGTTAAGAATAATCAAAACAAGTAAAAAACATTCTTTTTGTGAAAATATTTCCGTTTCCGCGAAAGGCAGATACAGGCTTATGCATATTAAAAGAACGCTAAATCTTATAAAGATTGCCAATACAGAAATTTCTGTTATAGACAAAAATCCATTTAAACCAGATTCAGTCTTATGCCTAATTTACTGCGTAAAGACTGTGATTACGGACTATCCATACGAAATTAGTACAAAATTTATATTATTACAAGCATAATTTTTTTAAATTATATAAATCACTATCTATAAAGTTTGTTTAAAAACTTTAGCTCATAATTTTCAGCTGTTTTTGAAAAAAATGAAATTGTTTTCCCATAGAGTCAGGAAAAAAATTGTTGCGTTAACTTGACGACCATTTCTACTTTATATAGGATATATAAATTCACTTACTTTAAACTGCTACAGAATGTGTACGCAGGTAATAAGTACTCCCCCGTCAAGCGAATATCCATGCTGACTACTGTAGGATATTTATAAACGTGTAAAAGAAAAGTAGTGACTTGATAGGCGAAACCACTAAAGAGAAATAAAATAAAGATTCCTTTGAGTAGGTTCTTTGGTTCTTTAAACTTGCTTAAAAACTTGCTTTCATAACTTGCAACCTGCCTTTTGGCTTGAAGAGATGAAGTGCGCACCAAAGATCCAATAGACGCTA